CAGCATTTGCCATTGATGGGGACCCTCCTCTCGAATGAAAAAGATGTCTGCGCCTGGTCAGGAATTTGTCACAGGACCAAATCCACCAGAATGGGCTGGAAAGTATTACTCGTTGGGAAATCTATGACCCGAGCAACAGTTCACATCTAATTTACCTAGAAGTATTTGCTGGACATAACATATATAACGAAACAATACGTTTGCGTTTAAATTGAAATCGCAGGCGATTTCAGAAATTTATGGGGAAACTCAATGGAGTGTGGCCGTGGAAAATACCACAGAGAAATTATTAATTTTTATATTGAAAAGTGAAAAAATGATAAAGCTGCATGGCGGCTTGAGGTTAAGATGGCTTTATTTGGAAAATAATTAAGAGAACAGCAGTCGAGCTTGATCGAGTGTGAATACCTGTTAACCGAACATTTAAGCATTAAATTAAAATATGAATTGCTTAAAAGTTTGCTTAAAAATATATAGGAACTAAAAGTAATTCATTATCCCACTACAAATACATTTGTAACCCTTTTTAAAGTTTTCTTTACTACCAAAGTCACCTATCATAACTAACTGAATAAATTTCGCCCTAGTAATGCCTTACAAAAGGACCTCCCACTGAATGTGCAGGACTATTATTTAGCCCATAACTATTCGCCTTCAAGTTGATAAAATAACTCGGTCTAAGCCGGGCCAACGCCGAACCCAATCTATGTATATAATCCACTTATGGCTTATACTTATACGACCTGTTCGTGTACGCACCTCAACTCGACATTAAAGGATTTACCCAACTCAACGATTTCGGGACTGGGACTTTTTTTTTTTTTTTTTGCAGCACACGCACTCCAGAGGAATAAGGAAGCCGAGTCCTCGTTCCGCTTTTCTTTTGTTCCGAGCAAACAGTCATAAATCCTAGCCAAGTTCAAACTATATCTGCTGCCCTGGACCGTTCTGCAAAAATTCCTCCTGTTTTTTTATGGCGCACTTATATGTGGGACAGGACAGCGTAGCCCAAAAATCCATTTCACTTATTCCCATGCACTTTTATGGCCCTAGTCCGCCAACAATTTTGCACATTAAGAGTGAACTTTTTTACATGACATATGTATGCCAGTCCTCCCACTCTCCACCCACAGAAGCGCCCCAAAAATATAACTAACACAAATACACATTTCATATTCATGGTGAGGAGCGCTTAAAAAGCAAAGAAATTAACTCCAGCCGAAAGTTCGGGGGAGCGAGAGTAGAGTAAAGCCTGTCGCTGCGACATGTGTAAAAAAGCCGAAGGGAAAGTGCTACCATGAGGGCAAAGTGGCAGAGGGTGGTGCGGAGAGGCCTACTTAGCCCTCCCCCCGAATCCCGTCCTGCGGAGAATGTCCCCTTTTCTCCGGCTGCCACACTATTTTCTGCTTAGTCGGCTCATCTGCATTTTATGGTCCAAAAATATCATCATCATTTTTTCGCATTTCATTATGGCACTGAATGCGTGTGTGTGTGTGCGAGTACACTGAGCGGAAAAGTATCCAGGCGTAGGTAAAATGGAAAAACTATAATGGAGTTAAAGAAGCATTTTAATTATAAATTTTTAAAATATATTTACATATTTTCAGGGTCCTAATGAAGACCCTGTCAATGTCAAAAACAGCTGCATAACCTAGTCTATGTTATGTTAATATTCAAATCCTTTAAAATTACATTACATTACTAAATATAAACTGTAAAAATAAATCTAAAACAAAAGCAACCCCTCCCCATTTTAATGTTAATTTTTTTCAAGTGCCTTTAGGTCTGCCTGTATTAGTGTCCCAGCGAAAACTTAGCAGCGTCATTTAGTATGCTTCATTTCATTATGTATCTTCCCGTTTTCCCCCCCAAAAAACCCCGGGAAAAACTCCTTCCAGAGATGGGCTAAAAACCCCTGGAAAACCCCTCGCCCAACTGCCTACGTCTACGCTCTTTTTTAAAAACTCTTAACTTTCGCTGCAACCGCAAGCATTTTGGGCCGCATTTTGTGGGCAATCCTTCCTTGTGAGCCAGGTCCTTCGTTTTTGGTCCTGGCAAACGGTGCGAGAAATTGTCCTCCCTATCATTCTTTCCTCCTCCTCTCCTTTTTCTCGATGAAGGGAGGAGGTTTCCCCTTCGTTTGCTGGCTCCCTGTTTTTTTTTTTTTGTTGCTTTTGATGTCGCCTGCAATTTTTTTCTAAAGATATCTTTTTTTTTGCGCCATCACCGTCCTGCGTAGGAAAACTCCTTTGGGTGTCCCTGCCATTTGCCTCGCTCTAAGCCTGCCGCCATCTCGCTCTATACCCCATTTGCTGTCCCACTCTGTCAGTCATTTTTTCCTCGTAATTTTCATAAGCAGCCGTTAGACGTTGGATTTATGTTTTTAAACGCCTTTTAATATGCGAGAGGATATTCGCGCGTAGCTGCAGAGATCCCCGGCAAAACACAAAGCCACTCGCAAATGCCGCATAGCCAGCGTCCTAGCCACGCCCCCCGGCAGTCCTTGTCGCCCCGTTTTCCTTTGCCTTCTTTTGGCCCTTAAGCCAAGCCCCCCAACCCGACTTTTGGGGGTCCTTGCAGTGATGCCAAGAAGTCATATTTGAAAAAAAGGGACCTACTTGTGGCATAAAGAGAAAATTAATTAATAATTTAAATAATAAATTTATTAATAACTGAGCTCATTAGTTTATTTATTAATTAAGCTTTTTATCACTAAGCTGGGCAATAGTGAATATATGAAAATGTTTAAAATACATTCTTAGGGAAAGGAAGTTGCGAAATCAAGCAATTAATTATATTAAAATACAATTTAATAAAAATCAAATATTAAATATAATAATTAATCATTTCTACTTGAAGATTTTATTAAAATGAATGCTATATAGATATTATTTTAAATAATCAACCATCTAACTCTGGTAACCATTCTTTCTCCAAAAAAAAGGACAACTTGCCAACACTGACTCCTTCTTTTTTGCGGCTGTCTACTTCTTGGTAACGCCGCGCAAATCCAGTGAGAATGCGTTTAAAAAAATATTATAATAATAACATTACGTAAATAATTGTTGGCTGCTGTTCGGGCTGCTCGGGTGGTTCCGAGGCCTCACTTCCGTTGGGGCAGGGGCGTGTTTGGGAGGCACGCGCCTCTGGAATAGCAACGGAAATCAGCTGCGTGTTGATAAGCACGCATATATAGCTCCAAGGAGAGCTGCCAGCAGTTGGAGGGCAAAGGATCCGGGGGGGCAGGACTTGGCTCAGTTTCCTTGTCTTATATGCATATGTAGGGCTGTAAGGGTGTGAGAGTGTGCGGGTGTTTAGGTGCCATTTGCGTGCGTATTTTTGGTGTGCTTTTGCGGTTAGCTGTTCAGTCGAATTTAGGAAAAAGTCAAACACGTCGAAGTGGGAAATACATTTCAAATATCAAATAAAAAGGAAAAACAATAAAGTATTCTGGTCTTGACTGGGATGAAGTTCTATAATAATCTATTTAAAAATAATCTATATTAAATATAGTAAATAATTTTTAGAAATAATGTGAAAGCAGCACATTTCTTTAAGAAGTATATTCTTGTACCTGCTTTCAGGAATAGGAGAGTAAACAAAGAATATTTTTTCAAGATCAGTCAGTATATACAGATATTCTTCATCTTTCTTTCTTAATCTTTCTTTATAATCACAATAACTATGATAATTATCAAAGTTAAACCCAGACCCTACAAAATTTCTAAGGTAGCAAGGCTTTATAACCAGTTACTTGTTATCCCAAAAGCAATAAGTTATTAAACGCTTATTTATGCATAAAACTATCATATAATTCAAAGGATCCTTCTCTTGAATAAAGGGTATATCACCATAAAAGGGGGACAGAGAAAAAACCGAAAACAGAGGCACATTTGTAACGCGCTGTCTAACAACAAAATGTGCGTGTGGCTCACGATGGCTGCAGACAGCAGCAGTTCACAGCAGTTTCTCCTACGCCTTTGCCGAAATTTTGTTGTCATCATCACTTTAAGAGCGGTGGTTTAAGGTGGTTGAGAGGGGGAGGTAAGGGTGACTGGGTGGCTACATGGTGTTGCTGCCTCTGTAGAAAGCCAAAGCAAGCGACGCCTGTCAGACACAAAGTTATCTTCGCTTCGTCTTGGCAGCCCCTCCAACCTCCGGTGGTTGTTGTTGTCATCTTCCGTTTTTAATTTCATCTGCCATTTACTGCTACTTATGACACATCCTTTTGCAAGGACACCTCGCACCACACCACACCACACACCCAGTGCTTCCCGAAAATGGGAAATATTTTTTTCGGCTTTTTTGCTATCATTTTTTGGTGGCATTTTGCTGGTCTTTTTTTCGGCATTTTGCATACCCTTGATTGAGGTAATTAGATTCTGGGCACGAATTTGCTGTGATATATGAATGTTTTTTAATGACAATTGTTTTAATAGTTATAATAATTGTCGGGGAAATGTAGCTGATGTAGTTATTTAGTTAATTTGGGTTATGACATTTATTGAAGGTTTCTTGGAGATACTTTCTCTTAGGAAAGTTTCTTGAGGAAAGAGATCATGGTCACACTTTATTAAAAATATTGTAGCATAGCTCTATTATTAAATTAAATTTAATCTTAAATTGATTATATATTTTAAAAAAGGCAAACTTAAATATATTTATAGAAGGTTTTATTGGAAATCAAAAAGTGTGAAGTTTACTTGACATTTTTATGAGTTCAAGAGTTCATGGTCACACTGGAGTGACAGTACAGTGTCATATCCACATTAAATTTAAATTTAATATATAAGTTAATATATTTAAAGTATCCGAATTATTGTAACAAGATTGTCTGCGATTATTTTCACATTTTTTCTTCAATATTCAGGGCAAGGGTATCACAGTTTTCGATTTGAAAATATTCAAGTTCATTTAATTTTTTTTTTTTGGTTTGCAGATTTTGTTGAAATATATTTTTGTATATTTTTTTTTTCGGGCTCTTCTCCCCTGGAACTTACCTTGGGATGTGCACGGCGCGGAAAAGCTACTTTCGGATCGACCTGCGGGCGAAAGAGAGAAATGGAGAATTATAGAGCGAGGCGATGGGGAAATCCGAAAAGAAATCGTATGCTTAATGACATTTAAATGAAAAGAACATTTCGCACAACTCTTCATATTAATAGCCGGGCATAAATCTTGCATAAGCCTGCACTGCACATTAAATGAAATTGCCCCAAGAGGAGCGGTGGGATGGGTGGCCGGGCGACCTTGGGGGTGGTGTCTGTGCTAGTGGGCGACTTCAAGCTGAGCACGCACGAATTAACGCGTAACAAATTGCCCGGCCAGCGGGCGTAAGGAGCATAAGGATGGGGGGGAAAAAGCGAACAGCTTCTCTGCCCAATAAGCAGCGTCATTAAAAATAATTAAAAATCATAAAAATTCAATTTTAAGCATTTTTTTTTGCCTGGTCTATCTTTTCAGCTTTCCCTCTCTCACTCTCTCTTCTGTGACTCCATCTGCTGCGGCTTTCATATTAGTGCAGGGAGACAGCTCGGCTTGACAGCTGAAATATAAAAAATCAGGGACCGCGCACTCGACGAGGGTGGCACTAAATCCTGGCAGCTGAAGTGCTGCTGTTGCATTTATCCTGACTATCTCAAGCCAATGAAGGAGCACCCAGTGCAAAGTGGGGCTCAAGGAAGCAACGCAATATCCTCTGGCGATAATAATTCGCACATACACATACACACACACACACACACTGCGATGTGGTTGTGGAAAATCTGTCACAGGATAGGCAGGACATGCGGCTTGCCGTTCGCCGTGTTGATTTCCTGTTTGCAGGACGAAAAACAAGGGCAGCCGCATGGCGGGAAATTGATTTTTAGATTAAAATTAAAACTAATCAGCGCTGAGTGCCGAAACATTTTGGAGGATGTTGTCGATGCTTTTGGCCTTTTTGAAACACATCAGGCCGAAAAACCGTAACGAAATGAAATGAATTCGTTTCGTACGGTTTCGTTTCGTTTTTCGTGGCTGTGCAGCCAAACGGAAACACGAAAATCCATGACCAGCGGAAAGTCAGCAAGACGAAAATGTACACAGGCAAAAGTAATGGTAATTTAAGGTATATTAAAAGAATCAATTAAGTTATTATACTAATTTAACAAACAGAATTAGCTCTTTCTAAGGTAACATATTTTGTTGCCCAATTCTAATATTTACTAAAGAAAACTCAACAAAAACTTAATAAAAATGTTCTCTTTTCATTCTTTTTACGTTCTTGAAAGTGGTACTATTTTTTTCCAGTGTCCTGTATATATTTGTTCCCCCCACATCTATAGATATAAACATTACACGTATATAAATGCAGTTTGCGAAACAAACAAAATTGTTGGAGGCAGCGGCACAAAAAATTACACATAAATGCTGGCTGCGCATTTTATTTACAGTTGGCAGGCATAAAAGGATGATCGGATGGACATTGGACAAACGGACAAACGGATGGAGCCAAACAGCGAAGCTTCACTCAATTAGGCTAATGCCAATGCGGCGTATGCGTAATGCATGCGGAATATCATTACAGAATTTCCACTGTAGTTGCCGCCGCCAGCTAATCAAATGCGATTTCCACCTGTATAGAAAATGCGGAAGGAAGGCACTGTCGGAAATGTATTTATACAGCGGAATGTTTGAAGCTCTATGGAGTTGATTAATTAAACGGATAAAAATGTGCCTATTTCCTGTGCAAAATCTTAGTAGGAAATTGAAAAGCCAAGAAGAGATAAAGAAGTGGCTTATTAAAAAATTAAAATGAGTTTCTTTGGAATTTCTGAAAAAAACTGTATTTATTTTAGTAATTCAAAAAATTTATTTATTTAAACAAATAAAACAAATCTGTGAAAGTAGTAAAATTATGATATTATGACACTTTATTGTTAATTTCATTCATTGACAGGTCACACTTTTTTCTAAAAGTTTTAGAAATTGTATTAAAATATTTGATATGTTTATAAAATATTATAAAGTTGTATTCATTTATTTAAAGATTTATATTCATTAAATAAAATACTTTAAGTAAAGAATTCCACAATACAGTGTCATAGTTCTGATACTCAATAAAAGAAAACTTTTTTTACATCAAAGGTATCTTCTTATTTGTTTCTAATATTAAAAGAGAAAAATATTGATTGTAAACTTTATTTTTTGTATCCTCACAAAGGGTCAACTATTTATTAATTTTTTTGTAAAGGCGAAAAGTCTACCTTTAATGAAATTTCTAGCTACCAAAATTTCATCAACTGCTCGTCATGCAAAAAATTATACATTGCAGCTCATTTGATGTTCCTGTCACATCAGATAATTAAAAACTGTTTGACTTTTAGGGCCCAATTTTTTTTGGCCACTCTTTTTGCCAGGCCTTTTTTAGCCAGGGCCTGTTATGCTTTGACTTTCTAATTGCTGTCAATAGAGGGAAGCGGTGTATGAATTTCACGGAGGCGCTGCTTTTTTGGGCAAATATTTTGCATAGTTAAAGTGGAGTTTTCTGTTTGGAAACAAAAAAATGAAAAGGAAAAAGAAAAGGAAGGGAGAAGGAAGGGGGAGAAAAGTTTCGTTTCGGGGTAACATTTACCTTTTTGCCATCCAGCTCGTGTGTGCCTTGGGTGAGTACCTTATCTACGCTATTTGGATCGCTGAATGTGACAAAGCCGAAGCCTCTGCAAGTAGATTTGGAAGGAGATGTAAACAGGAGACGGTTAGCGAGAAGTTCTGCAAATATTTGCACAAGCAAAGGAGCCAAGTAACTGAACCTGAACCCGAACCAGGACGAGGACGAGGAAACCAAGGCAAGCCCGGACCAAAGTTGAACCTGCCATCGTCAGTTTAGCACGTGCGCCAATTAGGCGCTCAAATTACATCAAAATATTGCCAGAAAAAGACAGAGAAAGATGCCAGGGAGAATGTACATATATACATATATATATATTTGTATGTATAGGGTAGTACCACCTAACCCCATTCACAAATGCCCCTTTTCCGAACTGTTCGAAGCCGCTAACGGCAGACGCTTACAAGCCATTACATTCGGCCCGTCTCTTTCTTTCGCGCTGTCGTGTTCGTGTTGTGATAAACTTATTCTTGTTAAATATTTAATTAAAATGCTTATTATCTCGCACTGCATTTTAATGAGTCTTCCAACGAAACGAAACGAGAGGAGAGGCGGGTCTTAGCCAGGCGAGGCAGACACAGCACAGCCAAAGACAACAAACCAGCTCAGAGATTTTGGCTGCGGCTGTCAGCCCCCCCATTTGGCCACACCCCTCAATGCCTCTGTGTGTGTGTGTGTGTGCACGTTTATGTTTATTTGAGTTTTGCCACTTGGCAGCAACGCTTAACGATGCTGCGCAACTTCTTCTTTCAGCCCCAGACACATGCTCGTATTTGTCTTGCTCTTTTAAGCCCACCAACAAGCCTCCCCAAAGCCACCCAACCTGGCAACCACCCACCACCCACTTAACCAGCCACCCCCCTCGCTCAATCCGAGACCAGCAAGAACCGCAAGCACAGCCAGTAATTAACGACGATTCTATTGCAATTGTGGCAATTGTTACGGCTCTGATTCCACTCCCTGGCAGCGCAAGGTCGTGCTGCTCAGGAATCAGAATCGGAATGGAAACCCAGTCAAACATGTACATGGTGTACAAGCATGGGTCCGTCTGGTCAATGCATAGAAGAGCTAGAAGCTAAACAACAGCCCCTGCAGGTATTCTTGGCTGTATATCCCCAGGTATGTGTCTGACCAGAGACAAACGACATTCCCACTTGGTCAAGCTGGCTGTGTTTCTTAGGGAAATTAAGAAACTTGAAGTTGAAATGCTTAATGATGCTTTTAATGCTTTTAAAAGTCTAACAAATTAAAGATAATATTAAGCAGAGTTTAATTATTATAGAATATATAATCACCACAGAAAACTATGAAAAATGAGGCCGGAAATTATAAAGTATGAGTTGTACTGTATGAAGAAAATATATAGAGTCTAATAATATAAATATAAAAGAATATTGTTTATATTAATTAAAGTCGTTGAAGAGACAGACATGAATATTTTCTGATAATTCTAAAGGAAAGAATGACATAGAGACTCTTTCATACAAGCTTAAACATTACAATTTATATCACCAAAAATACACTAATAAGACACAAAATTACAGAAAATTGTAAAGAATATAATTCAATGCAACTTAACTGATACATTCTATACAGTCTATGTTAGCTTTGAGATATATAATTTTAAAAATACTTTATAATAAATTTATAGCAACTAATAATCTGAAATGCTTCTAAATAACAACCAAATTAATACCTAAATACTCTACAACGACTAAATAATCTCTCATAATGGTCTGACCTTTTCTTGACCTGCTCTAGTTTAAAATTTAACAGTTTAAATTAACTTTTAATCTTGACCATAAGCAATAGACGTTCTGGCAATTAACTAGCCATGTGTGCTTAACTGCAAGCTCATCTCGCATGTGAAAATGTTATGATTTTAGATCCTGTAAAATCAAGCTAGTTAACTTAATGCATGCGTGTCCTAGAAATTCTCGGTAATGTCCAACCACACATTACCACTCCCACTGCACTGCATTAACCCTGTTTGCACAGATAGCAGGCTATGGCCCCCTGGCGCAACCCCCTGATGGCCCCGTTTTGACATACAGTTTTATTGTATGCGTTTTTCCATACAATTTACTTGTCAGTTAAATCATTTGTAATTGAAAGTTAAACAGATAATGCAGACAAGTAATTGTTTCATTGAAATTTTATTGCATACTGAAGAGCAATTATTTATAAACAAGGATTACGCTTTGTGGCTACAAATTAAAGGGGGGTTTCCCTTTGATAAATTTAAGAGGGAAAATATTTTGGTATTTGTTATCCTTTTCCGGATTAGGTGAGACTTTACTTTACTGCACACCCCGCACACTGACCTCCGCTCATAATCCCTATAAAATGTTATCCATGCCCAATATTTTGGTGCTGCTGCTGCTTTCCATTTAGACATTCTCGGGCTATATTGTATCGGCTTTTCCACACAAATTGCTATTCGACAAACAATGCTGGAGAGAACAACAATTGCTTGTTGCAAATTTATAAAAACAATTTGCATATGGAAAAGGATGTCCCAGGATTGCCAGTGTCTTTGATTTAGCCCCGTGTCCTTGCTCTCCGGCCGCCGCCGCCCATCTACGTGCCATGGATAAGTCATTATTTGTTGTTGCTCCTTGTTATTGTCCTGCCTTCAAGCCAGCCAGCCAGCAAGCCTTTCAGCCGATTTTTGTTGCTATTGGCATTGGCTTTCCCTGGATTCCTGTACAGCTGGCACGGTCTGGTACATATTAAATAAACATTTTATCGTATTTATAGACGAACAATTTGTGCAATGTGCAATTTGCGAAAAAGAGGCCTGCTGCACCTATTAATATTGATTTAAATGGGTGATTTAGGGGGTGGCGGCTCTGCCCTGTGGGGCCCTGAGATGGCGTGTAGTTCAAGGGGGTGCAAAATGATGGTGCCGAGTGGTTCAGTAGGCGTAACTCCAATCCAATGTTCAAGTGGGTCACACAAAATTGCCGAACGTTCAAGGGAGAGAGAGTGAGTGAGGGCCACAAAGTTGAGGACAGAGATTGTTGCAATTTACCTCCCCCTTGTAGGGGAGGCAGCTCAAAGTGAAAAGCCACAAATTTAAAAGGCAAAACTCAAAAATAATGTGTCTCCTGTGTGCAATTTACTCACAAATTCAGATTCAATTTATGCAACTCGAGGCAGACAAGCATCCGCACGCCAGATAGAGATGGCCAGCCCCCCAGAAGAAGGAGACGGGTAGAGTGCTCAGGATAACAACAGAATGTGTGCCTGTGTGTGTGTGTGAGGCAACAACAATGAAAGAACACACACAGATACACGGAGAGAAAGCTTGGGAAAAGTCAGGGGAAAATGTAAGCAATAAATTCTTAGAGTAGAAAGTTCCAAAACATGTAATGTTTGTTTAAAACTTAAGAGTTAACAATAAATATTTAATAAAATAATAATAAATAAAATAGAATTACAAAAGTATTGAAGATCCTATTGGTAAGGTCCAAAGTCATCAATACTACTCCCAGATCTTAGTAGAAATATATTTAAGAGAAATATATATATTTTTAACTCATTGAATATTTTCTAAATTTCTAAATACTACTTTTACCCCTGTGCAATTTAAAACAAAGAGTGAAAAACTAAACAGCAACAAGGGCAGCAGCAGAGACATGCAGCCGCTCTGACAAGAAAATGTGAGGGGGCTTTTCAGGGCTGGCCTGCAGAGTGGGCAGCTCGCCCACCTACCTCCCCTTCAAACCCTCCCCCTCCTAGAGAACATGCAACTTGGGTTGCTTGTTGAATTTTATAAAGCCGTTTCAGAATGCTAATGAGCGCACGCACACAAGCTGCCAGCAGCCAAGGATGATGCTGCTGCTGCTGCTGCTGTTGCTGGATGCCGCCACCTCGAGAACTCACCTTTCTACCTTTTTTCGGGCCGCTGAAAAGGGTGAGCCAAGCTGCGACAGGTGAGAGCCGGGCCAACAAAAGGGGAAGGGGGCGTGGCAATCATGTAGCAAGCAGCACACAAACACCGCAGACACGTACCGACCGAGAACACGGCCAAAAGGAGCACAAGCTAAATAAAAGTGTTATTTGAATTGGCATGGCAGAGCTTGGAGCTTGAGAAACTTTCCCAAAGATACTCTTGCTTCGCTCCCGAGCTTACGCACAATTTAGCAAAACAACTTGCATGTATTTAGCCCGTAGATACTCATACTTGTGTGCACACATATATATGTATATATAGTAACAAAAAAAAGGGCTGGGAAAATATCAGGGAATATAGCTGGCAACGGTAAAGACTAGCAGAGAGTGTCTGCAGTTAAGTTGGCGGTTGGCTTGTGGCTGGCGTCTTGGATTACCGTAAATAATCTAACTAAATGAGTTACCAAAACGGTCAAAGTTCACCTCATCCAGGTGTTGGTTGGGTATCTGCGAGTGTGTGTGCGTCGTCCTGTTCCCGTAATGGGAGCAGATAACAATATTACCAGTCGCCCAGCATATGTCCAGCGATCAGGTGGACAAGGACAGGTAGGTAAGATGATGATATTCCGCCCCCCTCCTGAGGCAATAGCCAAAACTGTAACCGAAAGCTCATTTTATAGGCAAATGACGGTGTGTGGGAATGGCCGGGCAGAGTAAATAGAATCCTGAATATATCCAGGGCAAAGATTACTTGAAATTGAGCAAGGTTCAACTGCAATAAATGGAAATATTTTTCACTAAGCGGATGGAAGCACACAGCAAGAAACTCAATTCATTGGTTATAGTTTAGGAAACGCAAATTGTATTTCAGTTAAGGATGAAGGTGCTCTGACATTCCATAACTTGAGTACGGCGGTAGATATGGAGTGTCTTAGTTTTGAAGTTTTAAAATAAATTTAACAGCTACCGATTATCCTGCCTCTCTTAGCTCTCCCAGATTTTCTACATATTTCCGGAATCGCTTCGCTTTTGCAGCATCTGGGCAAAACGCTGGGTAATCAGCAGCGATGTGTCTATGAAGCGGTCGACACAGTTGCTCAGACAAGTCTCGGTGGCATGGTCCAACTTGACACTTGGCTTGCCGATGCACTTCTCCCAGCAGACCTCGTTGAACTCGTGTATCTGAGCGTTGACCTGTGCCTTTTGCTTCTCGATCATGAGGAACTCCTGCAGCTCCTTGTCGTTGGGGGACAGGTTCTCGAAATCGGTAGGGTTTTCGTAGTCAGACATGGTGGTGGTTTGTTTATTCTACAATCTTAACAATTAAGAAATGTAATATTTTAGGTTTGACTAACAGAAAGGCGTCGTACAGTTAAAAATTTGTAATTTATGTTTGCCGAACGGAAAGGCAGTGAATACTGAATGATATTTCAAGAAAATAAAGGCACAAACCTTAATGCCTTAGAAATTATTTAATAATATTAGCAAGTTTAAGTCTCCAAAAAGAATTTCTTTACAATAACCTTAATATTTTCCCTCTGTGCCTCGCTATGCATGTCAAACAAAAAAGCCTCCCTTTTGAGCACCTGAAGGAGTACGGGGTTAATCTTAACCCCTCTGTCTAGCAAGCCCAAAACCCCTTGGCTTTTATCTCTTAATTGCCTCAACCTCAACTGACCTCAGTGCCTCAGACAGAATGACAAACTACTGTGAATTGCTCTTGAAGTCAGCGGAAGTAAGAAAACAATTGTCTCTGTGTCTCCGGCAACCCTTAACCCCAGTGCATCCCCATTCCCATTAACGTTTCTGTTTCAGTTTCACTCCCTTCCCTTGGTATCGTTAATACACAAGTTGCAGTCAAGGCTGCAGGACGAAGGCGTACATTATATTGTGCATAGAGATGCACTGCTCGCAAAAATTGCCAAAGAAGCCGCAAGCCATGCCCTCAACCTTAAAACTGAGAAAAAGAAGGTCCTTTTTTTTGGGAAGGAGATGAAAGTAGTAAAAGTAGCTGACGGCTAACGAAACTTTCAATCCGCGGAGGCAAATGTTCTAGGAGGTAGGCCGCCAGCATCAGCCAAACGCATATTCAAATGACTTTTTCGTGTAAAAATTTCGAAACAGCCAAACAAAGGCGCCCCGAACGAAAGAAACGAACAATTGCAAGAAGGGGAATGCAACTCAAGACGACAGTGGAGTACTCCAAAGGGGGCGTGGCAGATGAAGAGGGTGGAAGATGGTAGGTATCCAGAGCCACCGCTGCTCTCTAAGCCTTGGCTACAGCGAAACGTCAAATCCCAAGCGCACTAACAAGCACTTCCAAGCGGACCAAGATGCGACGCCTTTGTGTGGTGCTCTCTCTCTGGTTTCCCAATTGTTTTGTTTTCGGAATACCCCTCAAAAATAATAACAATACAAAAGGTAGGAAAAATAACGTTTAAAATAAGTGTAAATTATTCTTTTAAAGTTAAAAGTTAATCGATTTTTGTGTTAATTATTGAAGTGTTATTTCGATTATGTATTTAGATTTCTGAGTTTAATCTTTAATATTTGTGACGGTATTCGAAGATTTAGTATATCTTAAAAGGTGAATTCTCAAATTGATCCAAACAGCATTCAAGCTTAGATATTCTGTAAGTTTCTAGCATAAACTAAGTTTAGATATAGTTTATTATTAACTTTTCTTTGCCAGTTTGTTCATACTTTTTCCTGGAATCCCCTTCCGACTTAGAAGTACTAAGAATCTTTGTTTCGATCACCTCAGCCTCTCTTCTCATTTCTTTTCTTTTTTTTATTCAGTTTTTTACTTAGCCAAAACCCCCTTTTTTGCTTCGCCGTCCCTGGCTGCTGACTGCTGTCGTGTGAAGTGGGGCCGCGTGCATGAAACTTTCACAAGTGGCTTCCTGCCTTGGCTCGCCTCGCACTTTATAAGCCTACGACGGAATGGGTGTGGGAGCGGAGCGGGGTGGTAACAGGGGTAGGTAAGGGCAAAGACAGAGGCGCCGCCCACGCCCATTTTGCACGTTTTTATGCCTTTGTCTTTGTTTCGTTTCGTTTTGTGTCGTGTCGTTTTCCTGGGCACAAAAATGCATCCTTGAACACGCACACTTAACTGGGCCTGCGTGAGTGGCAACCTCTTGCCGCCGACCCACTTTTACACAGGAAACAAATTTGTTATTAAATCGAAATAATGCTTTCTCTGTGAAAATTAGTTGAAGCTAAGTAAAAGAACTTTTAAAACAAGTTGCCATCATAGAATAGCCAGGACTCTGGCTTGAGAAAAATCATAGCACACTTTTCAGTGCGGCACTTACATTTGATCATTTTTAAATGTTATTCCCTATTTTTCTCCGTCTACATACTTTTTATTCGTTATTTTTTCTCTCTAGTTCGCTGAGGCTACTCAAGCCTGGCATGGAGACATTTAAGACGACTATGTCGCCGCCCCGTCAACGATGTCGAGTCCACCTCGAGTTGTGTGTGTGCGTGCCCTTGCGTTGATGTAAAGCCCCAACCCCTATTTCCCAACCAAACCCCTCCCTTCCTTCGCTATCTATGCGTTTCGGGGTTGTGGGTAATTTTATTAATCCAGACACAAGAACAAGAAGAAGGCGCCCCCGAAAAAGGGGTTTCTTTTACCCAAAAAAACATTTCAGCTAAATATTTAAATGGCCTGGCCATTATGAAAATTTATCGATTTAGTGACAGTTTAAGGACACACATTATGGCCGGCCATTTGTTATGTTTTTATGGTTTCGTCGTATGCCTGCTGCTAATGTCAATTTTTGAGTGTCGTTGCCACATTAAATTCTGCGGCAGCTGCTGGCTAACAAAAACGTCTCGAGTCTCTCGGTGCAGAAAGGTGACTTTATTTTATAATTCATTTTATTATTATTATGTAAAAGTGCGGTGCGCAAAGCAATTACAAGGGAGTGAGTGATTAGGGGAGTCTGTGGGGATCATAAAAATATTCCTCCTTTTATTCTCCGCGCATACATATATACTATATATTTTTTTGTTGCGTTGTTTTCGGGACAAGTGAGTGAAGGCTCTCGGCGGAGGCTGAGTTTTTCTTTTCATACAAATACAAACATAAAATGCGCATAAAAATGCGCGGGCGGAGAAAGCGCATGAAATAATCAACAGTAACAATGGTGGGGAAAAGTGGAAATGGGGGGAAAATGGCGGTATGTGGGTATGTGGAGGGGAAAGGGGAGAGCTGAAGCTGCCACACACGAGTTGACAGCATCCGAGTGTGTGTGCACGGCAAGAAATAGTGTTGAAACAGGAGACATATTTGTTTGAGTTCTTGGTTGATTAAATAAATAAATAAGAGATAAAATATTTAACTTATTTTATTCATAATTTAGAGTTAGAGTTACTTTAATTCAATTGTTTTATGCTTAGAAAATGTTCATAAAGGATATAGAAGGTCAAAGAAAGTTTCCTAATCTTGTTAAAAAATTCTGCGAATGATTTTGGTTATATATTTTATTAATTATTTTATTTTAGTTTATTTTTCTTAAATATTACACTAAAATATATTGTAAAAAATCCCTAAAGATATCAATATTTCCCACTGTACCCACTGTGTGTGAGTGACATCTCAACCAGCTTTTGGACCATGCCTGGGATGTCCTAATGGTCTTTTGCCTCCTGTAACTGACTGATGTTTGCCACACACACATCCGCACACTCACACCCGGTCAGCGACGCCATAATTAATGATGAAAAATTGCTACCCACACACACACACTCACAACACACACTTGGACACACAGCATATGCAGCCAACAGAGGCTGAGGGGAGGAGGGTGAGAAAAAATATAAAGCCATTTGGTTTTGTGTGCTGGGAAATTAACATGAAAAGGGCAAAGCGCAGCTGCCGTTCGCGTTTGGCCAAATATGTGAGATCGGTCCGCAATCGCCCCCGCCGAGAGCCCACTCCAAAGTGGTCAATGCCAGAAGGTCGCCGTCGCCAGGATGAGGAAAAAACCAAACCAGAAAAAAAAAGGCGGGAGAAAAAAACCCGAAAAATCCCCACTAAAACACATAAAGTGGCGCACTAAAGCTGCGAGCTTGGCAAAGTGATTAAATTGAGTTAATTATGTCCACCGAGAGAGCGATAGCGAGAGTGTGTTAGAGCAAGACAAATAAGAGTTTGAAGTTGTACATAAATTATTACAAGGATATTAAATGCCTCGCACAAAACAGGGGACGATGTTCGGGGACTACGCCAGTATTAAGTGCATATTATCAAAGGCCGTTAAATGCCAGATATAAAACATTTCGCCTGGGTGAAATTGCTTTAATCTACAGCAACAGCAACCCTTAATCTTCATTATTAAAACACTTTGTCTTTGTTAAATCTTTGTAAAGTTGTTTTCGTATTCGCCTTTTTTGTTTGTTTTTCATTCTTATTATATTTTTTATTTGTTTGTGAACCGAAATATTTCACATTTAAAAGGCAATCGGAAGCAAGTAAGTTGCCATTTCAATTGAGTTATGTCGCGAAAATTTGCCTTCGAAAAAATATATACGTAGAGCGATAGCCGCCGCAGAAATTGAACTTCTATCAAAGTTTATCAAAGCCAAAACATTTAATGGTTGTGCAAAATGTTTCCACCACTTTTTTCTTATCCCTTTGGACCGGATTTTAGTACAGGGTAGTCATAGATTTTAAGGAGTATATTCAGGGAAAGGTATCTATGAGGAAAACTAACTAAACTAACTAACTAAGTAGTCGGTGTAATAATATTACTTTTAAGAAACTAACTCAAACCTCTTTGAATAGAAATCCATAAAAAAAAGCGCCAAAAAATATGCAATGATTTTTTTCTGAAAGTTATCATATTTTTTAATGTTTTTTGTTAACATTTTTTTTATTTTAAATCACTTGCTTTATATTTTTCAATAAATGCAAGTTTAGAATGCACCTCTTGAAATTGTAATTGTAATTGTAATTATTAATATATTAAATATATGTCTAAAAGTATGCAATGATTGGTAAGGAAACGAGAATTGTAAGTGTATTTATTTATTTTGAAAGCTTTATTATTTTGTAGTATTAAATGTGCACTTAGTTAATTAATTTTCTGTACTGTGCTTATGGTTTCTAATAAATATAATAATAAAAGCACCTCTAAAAAATTTTACTAATTTACAGTATGCCCAAAAGTATGCAATGATTGATTTTGAAACCGATTTTAAGTGCTAGAAGATTTTATTATTTAGTATTATTTTTTTAAATTGATTTTAAATCTATTTTTACATTGTGAGTTCACAAAATACCTTTCAAAATCCTAAAATCCCCGAACAAAGTATCCCACAGTCGCAACGCTCACTTAACAGAGTTCATACTCGTTTTTATTTGTGCTTTTTTAAGTACGGTATTCTGGCTCTTATCTAAAAACCCGTTAAATTTATTATGCAACATTGCGCGCGGGTGGAAAATGCGATTTCTCATTCGATACAGATTCAGGTAAACATTCGCCGTGTGTGTCCGGCAAATAAATAAAGGCGAAAAATTCCGCTTGGCGCGTGTGGCGCGAAATAAAAGTCTAAAAAAACATTAACAAGCGGCAGCGAAAAAAAATTTAACTTAATTGCCAAACACACACACACACATATACAGAGGCGTCCCTTTCCACCAAAAGGGTGATTGTGTTGTGTTGTTGCTGTGGTTGTGTTTTCTCCGGAAGGGGCGGTCGTGGGAGGTCGGGGGGTTTTCTGCGCTTGGCGTGCGTGCGCCGTGCGATATAATTTATGTTTCAATAACTTTCGAAACTCATTGAAAAGTCGCTTATGTTTGCTTCAATGGCAGCGGCGGCAGCAATAGCAACAACAGCAGCAACAGGAACGCGCTTAAGAAGAATGCTAAAAGTACAACAATAAATTGTTTGGATTTACTTATGCGAGAAGGGGAGCGACGGAGTGCTGCCGAGCTGAGCTTTTCTCGATTTTCCCGCTTTTCGCCCCAGCAAGAGCAGGAGCAGGAGTAGGAGCGGCAGCAGGAGCAGCAGCTTTTCTTAGCTGCCATTTGCCATTTTACTCAATTTTTTATTGTTGCTGCACTTGAGCGACCCCGCTTTGTCTTCTCGCCCGCAAGAAAATTCCCGCTCAACTTGCAAAAGTTTTTCGCTATTTTCCCGCTCTCTCAGCGCGTTTCGTTTTCTGTTTTTCGTTTTTCTTTTTTTCTGTTTCTGTGAATGTGTTTTGTTTGCCATTTGCTTTCATTTTGTTTTCCCGGGCTATGGCCTTTTTTCCTTTTTTATTTTGTTTTATTTCTTTTTTTTTTTTGCTGCTGCCTCCGCTACTGTTGTTCATTTTGTGCTTTTAAAATTTATTTGCAAGTTTTCTAATTTGTACTTCACTCCATTTTATTGTAATATACAATCTCATTTGAAGTGAGATATCTCGGGGCATCTATCTAGCACACACAATCGCAAGTAAATGGGGAAAGAGATAGAGACACAGAAAGAAAGGGGTTTTATTTCGAGTTGAGAAACATTATAAGGCACATTTTGAATTACTTTTTACTTTTTAAATTAAGTGTTGACATTATTTATACATAATAAATAAATAAATTTGAAAGTATATATGTGGGAAATAATATATAAAGATTGAAAAATTCGATAAGAGTATATGAAACTAGAGTTATTTTCATATAAATTCCATACTTTCTTATCCTTTTGCATAAGAACTTCTTTTAATATGAAATAAAAATAATATCTGTATATAAATAAATATAAATGTACGTTTCAAATATATTTATACAGAGTTGTATGCCACAATCGCATAGGATACTTTTGAAATAAGTAAAGAAAGCATTTGCTATTAAATTAAATTTAAAGCCTAAATTTCATATCCTTAATATAAACACCTTAATTAAATAGTCCTAATACAAACTCTCGTTATATCCACTTAAATAAAATCTACAATTTACCTCTCTAAAGAAATAGCACATACTTTTTATAACATTATCACATATTCAACGTAAATAAATCTTTCTTAAATAACTTTGACTTGTTAAAAAAGCCATTTTTTGAAATTTTTTTATTTTTAAATGAATTATAAAAATGTCAAAAATTAAAATCAACAATTATTTACCATTCTCAAGAAATTGCACATACTTTTTATAACATAAAAACCCACCTTAAATACTCTTTGCTTGTTAAATTGTATCAAGCTAAACTCATTTTATCGCCGTGTAACGAGTTAGCGAGCGAAAGGGGGTGGCCCAATAAGTATGCAATGCCTGCTGATGCCTGATCCTAGCGGCATATCCTTGTATCCTGTTTCGGCTGGGCGACTGGGGCGCATATTTATTAACCACACTGTTGACTCTCGCTGCGGCAACTTTGCGTGCAGCTTGTTGCTCGCTCCTCTCGCCCCCTCGCTTGCTCTCTCGCTCAGTCTTTCGGCTTGAATTTTGTTGTCGCACCTTCTCAGGAATTCTGTTTACATTTATTACTTTGCGCAAGTTTAAGTGAAAAATTTCCATAAACATTCTTTTAAGCGACATAAAGTTTTTATTAAATTTTGCTAGAAATCCCTGACACGATGATATCAGGCAACAACGGCAACGGCAACAAATAGAGCTGCGGAATTTACAACTACCAGAGGGTAGAACACCTGCCGCCTCTCGTTCTGCGTCCTTTATCCTTCCACTTCCGCTTCCAACCCTGGCAGCCTGGTTTTAAGATACTTTCCACTGGCAGCTGGGGGAATGGGGCACTGAGGGTCGGGCTGCTGCGAAGTGCCAACTGTTTTACTGTTGGCAGTACGAGATACTGCTTCAGCTTCTACTGCACGCAGTTCATAAAAATTTTGCCAGCCAACATGACATGCACAAAGGCGAAAGGACACACGGCTCCAGTGAGCTCCGAGCTCCCAGCTCCCAGCTCCTGCAGGTGGGAAAGAGCTGCAGGAAGGTGGCGTAAACTTTCGTCGCTTGTTAACCTGAAAGCCTCGCTGCCGCCACTCCACTGACATTAGATGAAATTCAATTAAAACAAAGATATATTTCGTTGGACAAATTCCAGCGCAGTTGTTTAAGCTGAGGCAAAAAATGCGCTGCGGAACGCTACAGAAAAAAAACGGGTAGCTTCCGCCCCATAAAATGCTTAATTAGTGCAAAAAGAGAGAGAGCGGCGGCACATAAACACTTGCTAGTTTGCTGAAAGGACCTGGGTTTCATTTGATGAATATTGACTCGATTAAATGGGGCCTGGGAGGATACTGTGGGGTTATAGCAGACGGTGGATAAAGGGAAATACTAGTTGCCAATGAATAAAATAAATTAAATTAGGAGAAGGTGTTTTTGGGAGATCTTTTAAGTTGTTAAGAGGGAAAAGAGGATTATTTGTAAAGCTATTTGGTACAGGAGAAAAATCTTAAGATATCAATTACAACATTTCTTGTCTATTTTCTTCTTTTTAGAAATATCTTAAGCATAAAACTGTATTTTAATTAGTATTTTAATTATATAAAGACGCAATAAAAATACATTTCAAATTAACAAACTTCTGAGGAATAAAAAAAATAACTACAAGCGTAGACATATTGCGTATACGCCCCTTAAAATCTTTTATAAAAACAGGCAATATAGCAGAGTTATTAAATTTATAAATTTTCTTAAAAAGGAGTTTATATAAACTAACTAACTAACTCAGTAAAGAACACAAAACAACACAAATTTCACAAATTGCGTATACGCCCCATAAAACGCTTAGTTAAAGCAGACAATTTAACAAAAAATACTTCAAGAAAAGTGCTAATTTTACATCTAAATAAGTTGAGATTGAAAAAGTTGGTTTATTCTATGATAACTTATAAAATAGAGCGAACAGAAATGTATTTTTAAATCGATTTATAACAGGAAAATAGTCTTCAAAAAATGTATCATAAGTAGTAATTTATAAAAGAATACATAAAATATTAAATTAATTATAAACTAACAACTAAACGACTAAAAAACACACATCAACCACCTTCATCACATAACGTATACGCCCCATAAAACGCTTAATTAGTTTACAAAAAAAGAACCGACTAAAGCTTGATTTTTATTTGATGTATATGAAAATTGAAATTGACTCATTTAAATGCTGTCTCATTATTCATACTGTCCGCAGAAACCAGCTAATTTACGTTAAGCATTTTTAAATAAGGTCAAAGTGCAGGCAGAGCTGCTGGCACCGCCGTACGGCGACGGGGGTCGCTGAAGAGGGTCGCCGGATGGGATGAGGTATCAGCCACGTTCAGCCAACTGAAAGTTGATCGAAACCGCAACAAATGACAAACGTTACGGGCAAAATACACACAACACAAAAATACACCCCCCGCTCACACACACACACACGCACACACAAGGAAAAGGGGTATAGCGGAGGAGTAATAGGTAGAGGGGAGTAACACAGAGGGAAAAAATAAAATCAATGAAAATGAAAACCAATTAGCGGTTAACCAAACTGTTCAAATTTGGAAATGGATGCAGCCGTGCATGGCCATAAACAACAACAGCAGCAGCAACAAAGATGTCAGAAAATACAGGCGGGCCGAAAAAAGGGACAACAGATGAGCGATAGAGAGGTCAACAGCACAGCAACGGCTGAAAGGTAAAAGGTTGCCGGGTTACAAATTTATTACACGAAAATAGGAAATAATTAAAATCAGTTCGAATGCGGATACTATTTCGCCAGGAGAGGGGGCAGGTCCAATGAATGCGAGGAGGAAGAGCCTTTTGATTGATAAATTAAGAGCAGTATTTAAATGGAACACTAGGGCGGACTATAGTAAAGATTTTGGGTATTGAAAGTGCACGAAAAACCATTAAAGTCTATAAATTTATGAACTTAAATTTAAATATTTAGAATTTAAAAGAGGGAAATACACTTATCATATTTTGTATAATACTTTAAAGCCTTTTACTATTAAATTAAGACACCTAGATCCTTTTTAAACTCAAATCCCCAATAAAATTTCCTGTAAAACAACAATTTTTCCCACCTGTTGGATTTTCTTTTAAAACATCCTTCCCCGAAAACTCTCTCCTTTAAACCATTAAAACCCAGAAATCCCTTAGAAAAACCCACCACCACCAATCAAAGACAACCCCTTTAATCCAATTTCACTCACCTGGATCTGCGCGTCGTGGGATCCTTCATGACCATAGCCTCTGAGATATCACCATAACGTCCAAAGTAATCGCGTAAGCTCTCTGAAAGAAAGATAAACGTAAGGAAATGGGTGAGCGAATGCAGTGAATAATCAATCAAAGTGGGTTTATGAAATGTCCTGGGGGCTACACTCAAGTACGGCCATCAAAATCACGACGCCAAAGTTACTAATTTCGTTACGCGCTTAATAAAAATAAAACCCAAATCAAAAAAACAACAAGCAAAAAAAAAATAAAACAAATACGTCGGAGAGAAGCGAATTTCGCGCGAAGCCCAAAAATAAACAAAACCACTTTGGGACCCAAAACTTCTCCTTTTCGCTGGCAGAGGGTCTCCCCTTAGAAGTCCCCCCTCTACCTAAAACCCCTTGCATACGCAACTGGACATTATTCACATGCATACACAGAGTACACAGAGAAAAAATATGGTAAAATTTAATTTTTTACAACAACATTTTATGACATAGTATTTTGATTTCTAATTCATTTATCACTGTATCAGTTCCATGAATATTTAAGAGATTTTTCGGTAAATTATAAATCCTAAATATTGTATAAAAAAGATGATAATATTTTAGATTCTTTGCCTAAATTAGATAAATAAATTAAATGGTCTTGTTCTCTTAAATATATTGATAACTATAATCTTAAACCAATTGAACAATTCTAAAAAAAAAAAACAAATAAAATAGCTTCCCAAACCCCTTAAAATCTTATTATAATTTAAAATAAGAAATCTCTTATATATTTAAATTTTCTAAGAACCCTACCTATTTTTTATTTTCTCTGTAAACACATACAAAACACACAGACCACTTCAGAGTCGCTGCTTTGGCGGTTGCCAGTGGCAGCTGTTGTCTGCGGTTTTGCGAGCTAATCTGACTCTGACTCCGGCTGGAGGATTCGCAGGATTCAGGAAGCCTGAGGAGAGGAGAGTGAGAGGGCAGAGGGGTACCCTGCCCGGATGGAAGCACTTCAGCGGCACGTACGCACACAAACGCAACACTGAAGTTATTTCAACAAAATTGCCAGACAAACGGGACGGCAACGGGAAGGGGGTTATGGGGCGGACGACAGATACCAAGGCTCGTTGGCTGCGATTTAATGCAGCAAAAACAAGCAAAATAAAAAGAAAAATAATACCGATAAAGTCATCTCTCATGGCTCTGGTCCTTGCTTTGGCCCTGGCTGCTGGAACCCTAATCCAGTCGAGTGTCGACGCTGCCGTCATAAATTCAAACTACAATAAAAATTCAATAAAACAAACGATTTTGCCGCTCACGCCGCCGCGCGTCCAAGACGCTTTCCAGCAATAAATGTGGTACGAGAAATCGCACCCTTGGAGCAACACCACACCACCAGCACCACCGCCGATCCCTGCCCAAAATATCACAGCAAAACACCACCACCACCAACCCACACGCACGCACCAAAAACCAGTCTAGAGCAACTAGTTGCGCCATGTTTCGATGCAAAAAGAAACACTTGAATAAATAGATTACAATTTTATAGGAAGAAATATTTAAGAATTTAAAAGAAAAGAATAAAAAAACCATATAAGATTTAATGAAATAAATATTTTTGTATTTTATTTATATGAAAATACTAAGAAGAGAAGTCCACTTCTTATGATAATTTTCCGATTGTAAAGGTCTTATTAAAAAGTTCAATAAACTGAGATTACAATGAATATTAAAGGATTTCAGGATGCCAAAATAATTATAAATATATACTCAAAAATTTTAGAACAAAAACTGAAGTTTGTAAGGTTATTTTTGTCTTCTTGTAATATTTCTAAATAATATTATTACATAGATTTACTTTATTTCTAGGCCTCCACTCTTTTTCATAGTGCATAGAAAATGTGAAAGGAAAAAGGGGTTGTGGAAAATGGTTGGCACACACAAACACCCAGAGACCAGTCAAGTGGGGGCAATGCAACGCCAAACGCGAAGCGCGTCGCGTGATTTACATAAGTATGCACAATAATTATGAACAATAAAAAACAATTTGTTTGCTTATGACAGTTTTGGAACCATAAATAACAACAGCAACTGGCGCAGCGCGGTTCGAGTGGCATGTGTGGATGTGGACAATGGAAGGGAGGGAGGGGGAGAAAGTAGTCCTGTGTCTGCCCCGCGTGTGTGGCATGCAAATTGATGGGGCAGCCAAAGGGTTGCGTTCCATTTCGTTACGTTCGTTGCGTATGTGGCGCTGCAAAGTATGCTACACTTTAAGTTTTAATGGGCAATTGCCGCTCTCTATGCCATAGAGGAGCAGGGGTTGCCCAAGGGGTGGCAGGTGTGGCAGGTGAGGCGACACTATTCTATGGCATGACTTGCCCATTAGTTTAAGTTGAGGTGTAAATAAACCAGTTGGGGTTACGTTGCTCGCTAACCCCTCCTATCGCACAGTCCCAGGACTGTTATTGAGTGGGTCACGGGAAATGAGAATTCGCAAGTCATTTGTTTCGCCGGCTCATGAAGTTATAATAGAAGTTGGTGGTTGTCGGTGGTTGTGTGTTTTTTGTGGCACAATTTTGGTTTAAATGTGTAGAGATTTTAGGTTAAAAAAGTATATATAAACTATAAATAATAGGAAACCCTTAAAGTTTATTTCCTTTTCCATCTTTTAACATATTATTTTTTGACTTAAACAAAGATTTATCATTTCTCACTTAACTCTCTTTTATAATTCACTCAATTAATTCCCATTTATGATTTAGAATCCGGACTGCCGAAATCCCGGTAAAGTGCCAAAGTGAAGTAAGTCGTCATCAATGTGTCAATCACACCATGTGTTATAAACTCAGACACGTGGCTGTAGTCCTACCTTTACGCCCAATTAAGCCCCCATTCACCCACGTTTCTCGCAGTGCAGTCGTCGGCCTCCGCCACCCCCCCGCCTAAGCCCCTTCGCTGTCAACTGAATGCGACGTTCAGTTTTTGAGTGACAGCTGCAAAGTTTGTTTTGCATTTCATATTTGCGAGCTCGTCTGCAGGCCGCCGCCCCTCCACCCTACCTCCCGCTCACTCTGGCAGAGCCAACTGTCACTTGACCGGCCAACAGACCCTACTCTTGGCCCCCCGTTCTCCCCCCACCGCAGAAACCAACATGGCCAATAGAAAAGCTGGCAAACAAAATAAATGTGTAAATGTGAAGGAGAGAACAAAAAAAATAAAAGGAAATGGTCAACAAATTAAAACGCGGCAAAATAAAAATAAAATTAAAATTTATTTGCTACACGAAAAAAGAACGCAGCCCAAGAGCTGTGAAAAATAAAAAGAATAAAATAAAATACACATAACAAAAGAGTGAAGAGAGAGAGAGAGGAGGACGAAAGAGGCAGCGACAAGAGCGAAATATATTGTAACGGGCCAAAAGCCAAACTTGGATTTAATTAAAATGTTTACCACAGTCATTTCATTTTCATAGCCAGCAAACATAAATTTTGAAACGCACCAAGGGCAGAAGGGGGCGTGCCGGAAAAGCGGAAAACTGAGGGAGCAGAGCAGGAAAGAGCGAGCGAACCGCAGAGCGAAACAGCTGCAAGAAAATGCCAAAAACCATTAAACTTGCCCCCCAAAACACACACACACAAAAGTGGAAATTTTGATTGTTGCATTTTTGGTTTGGGGTGAAGCAATAAGCGATAAACAAAATAGGTTCAATCTGGAAAAGAAAATGAATTTGCAGGTAATTAGTTCAAGCAGGCACACACACACACACACTAACTCACACCAATATATCCCAAATCCATTTAGTAAGATTATTTATAAGAAAACTCATGCCCCAGGACTGTTGTGTGCCCAACTCTCAGCCAAAGGCAATCCGTTCTGCGGTTGCAGGCATATTAACCCCTTAACGTCCTGGCTGGCATCCCCTCGTAACCCCTCGCCCTCAGAAGGTCCCCTCAATAGGCCACCGCACATGTTGTCAAAAGCACAATGCTGAAACCATAAATTTATGTGCTTTCTATTGTTTTTGCCAAAGAAAGCGGAAGTTGTGTGTGCTCTGCGGTAAGCAGAGGGGGAGGAGGAGGCGGAAAATGCAAGGGGTAACGAGGGGTGGCAGGAGGAAAAGCACGAACAAAAACTACACAGCAGGAAAACAGCAACAGCAAAAACCAGAATGAGTGAAAAAGGTGTGCGCAAAGGGATTTCAATCAATTGTGAGGCGAACTGAGGCAACTGGCAGCCAGAGCAACAAGAACTAAAGCTCAGCCTCTGTTTGGTTCGTTTTAGCTCTGCTGGGAACTGCACTGTGAGAAATGGTACTCAATTTACTTGCAGTACCTGGAATTTATTTTTCTCTCAATTTAATTGGAAACTTGTAGTATATGTAAGCATCAGTAAGCTTTAAAAACTAACAATTAAAAATAAAACAAAAATAGTTTATAAGTTAAAATTTGATAAGCTAAAAAATATATTAAGAAATTTGGACTTCGGTTAATAAAAAACGTAGTAAGCTTTTTTCATACACCGACAAATTTTTGGAAAAAAATATTTGCAGAGTTACCAGACATTCGAAATAGGGTCATACTATCTTAAGCTAGCTTTTAGACTATATTGTTGTTCTTATTCTTAAAATATATTCGATTTTTTTTTTTTTGTAGCAAACAACCTTTAAATATTTTTTAATTACAATATCCTTGATAGATCTAAAAAATTCCTTAATTTTTTTCACAGCGCATCGTTTGTTGGAAAACGCAAATTGCTATTTTGTCTGAACAGCAAACGAGATGGCAATTCACTGGCAAAGACAGAGACAGACAGAGCCAGGCACACAGAGAGTTCGACAGAGACAGACCCATGAACAAAGAGATAGAGAGAGAGGGGGCGATAGACCAGTGAGCCTGTTGTAACACATCCCCGGTCGTAGCATCATTTTTCATGCGCTCCAACAACTTTTGACAAAGGTCGGTCAAGCAAGTCTTAAAAACTTTGCGACAAGACAACGCACGTTCCGTTTTGAGACCTCCCTGTGACCCCTCATAGCCACTATCTGCCCCGGAAATATTCGCCCTGTGAGGCCTGCCTTTC